GGCTGTGAATAACAAGCCATGTCATTCAGAACTAGTTGCTGTGCATCAAAATCATGCAACATGCTGAAATCCTCGGGCGGAATGTCACGTGCACTAAGGGAAGACCTCAGGCGGCTGGACTGTAGATTGCTTCCAGGTAGATGAAGAGCGGGAACATTTGGCTGAGGCCATGGTGCAGACGGATGAGACATTCCATTGGCAGTAGGGGACATGGGTTGGTTGAAAGCAGGAGGAGACATGACAGAGTGTGCTGAGGGCGAGCCAGGAAAAAGGTTCAGTGCTGCAGCCATGTCCATCACAGTAGCTGCAGAAGCAGCTGACCGAGGAGATGGAACTGCAGATCCAGTAGAAACATACAAGGGCCTAAGCTCCTCAGTAGTATGGGCAAAAAAGCAGACTCGCCTTGCACAACTTGTACCATCCTTGCACAGGCGCGTTCGGTACTGAGCAGGGTGCAGCCAGCACTCAAACACCCCATGAGCATATTCACACATATCACCCCGCCGGCATGCACCCTTGCGAAATTCAGGACAAGGCACACAGCTATAATGGTACTTCCTTGGATCTCTTCTGCGAGCGTTCTCCCCTGGGTGGACAAATGGGCACTCTGTCCAGTCATGAGAATAGGCCCTAGAACAAGGCCGGACTTTGAAAGAGAACATGCGGAACTCATCTGTCGAATAGATACTGTTCTTGATATCAGGGAGAGACGGATCTATTGGATATTCTTTTTTCTCTGGTGCAGAATTAGCAGGGATATCACTGAACTTTGATGTCATAGGGGAACACAAGGAATCGGATGGTGAAAATGGAGATCCATTCTCTGGTGATGAGGATAGAACGGGAGAGGATCCATTTGAAGTAGTGACAGATACTCTCAATTTGCACTCACCAACTGAACCATCAGATGAATTTTTCAGAAGCAGTTCTTCAAGAGAAGCTCTAGCACCATGAAGCTTTGGAGGAACAACAATCACATCCACTGGCCGCTGACCATTAGAATCCTCAATATTAGGATCGGCACCAGCTGATAGCAGAAACTTAACTACATCAACAGCATTGACAGAACCACCAGATGTTGCACAGTGAAGAGCTGTGCACTTGTTAGGACCACAAGCACGATTAACATCAACCACTGGATTAGAGATAATCAATTTCAAAACATCTAAGCTTCCATATGTGGCTGCTACCATTAAAGGAGTTCTTTCCTCATTAACAATCTGCTTTGCGCCTTTCTTGCGAACCAACCATAGGCCCACCTCATCAATAGCAGAAGCATCGCGCTCAACAGATCTTTTAAAACCTTCAAGATCATTATTTGCAGCAAGTTCAAGCAAACTAGAAAAAGAATCTTCAGTCTCAACCGTGAGTTTAGCAATACCCTTCATACTAGATTTAGAATCAGTAATGGATTGGTTGGTAGATGAACTAGAATTGGGTCTTTCTGGGCCAGTGCACATGCTTCAGCCAACTGCAAGTCAAAACACACAGAATTAGAAAGAAGATTTCAATAACAAATTAAGTAAAATCTTCAAGCATCATATTTCTAGAATCAGATGGAGTTCATAAACAATTTTGAACAAAATTGAATACCATTAAAAATCTAATTCAAGAATACACCAGACTGACAGCATCAAATAACTTGAATCTTCCTAAAACACCAAAGAAAATCTATGGAACTGAACCCCAAATTTAAGAGTTTGGAGACTAAAGGCAAAAAGATAATGGAAAAAGATAACAGGAAAATAGCCATAGTAGGTACAACAAAAAGAACCTAACCCTCTCAGAAGCTAATGAATACAGAGACATGACAATGCAGCAGCTCCTAAAATAGACAAAATATGCTCTTCTTTCGCTAAAAATGGGATAAAGAAGAAAAAAAAAGCCGAATAATTTACTAACTTCAACGTATCCTGAAGTAGATAGACTTATTTCAGCAAAAACGAAAATAATACCAAGAGTGTGATTTCTTATCTTTTTGTTTTCTTGACGCAGTTCATCAGCTACACCAAAGCAAACCCTTTATACACAAATCAATAGAGAAAAAATATAAAGAGAATCGCATCTTATACCAAATACTATATTCTACAGCTGATCATCCCTAAAAAATATTCACTCCATAACTTCAAAATATCACATCTTTACATAACAAATTATCACAAGAGAAGAACAACAACATAGATCAACATAACATTATCCAAGTATATCAAACAAATTTCGGCAAGAATACTTCAGCTATAAACTAGAATTTACTGACATAATCTCAGCAGATTTCACAGACAGTCAACCAGAGTCAATACAACATAACAGCAATAAGGAAACTAAAATACTAGTATTTACAAATTCGATCTCAATCATTCAACTCAAATCTTACCAGAAATCAAAGCACAAATCCAACAGCTGTAGTTAGTTTTTGTAGATCCACCACAACAGAGTTTCCAAATACCGTTTATTATTCAAAACTCCTTAGAAGTTGAGAAAACAGCAGTAGATGAAAAATCGCCGAAGCTAAATAAGCTAATCGTCTCCATTGAAACTCCAAAAACTCTGTGTTTGTAATATATCTACAAAAATATATAAATTAGTGATTCTGTATATACACCATTGGAAATGAGAGAGAAAGTGAAAAGAGAGAGAAAGATCGAGAAGCAGAGTATGAACTCTCAAGGCGGAGTTCTGTAATAGAGAGAGAGAGAGAGAGAGAGAGAGAGAAAAGAGGGAAGTATAAAATTGAAATGCAAATGAAATGCAAATGCGAAATGAAATAGTGTTGAAATTAACGCGAAATGAAATGAAGTGGAAATGAGAGTCAAATGAAATCGAAGTGATATTTGAAAGTGAGGGAGTGGGGACGGGTTTGGCCGGTGAAAGTTACCGGTTGGATGGGTAATAGTAGAGTTGAGGAGCGGACGTGAGTGCGATAGTCAATTGTGGTTTAATAGCCCGTTTGGCCTAGGCTCCAAAAATCTCCTAATTTTGAAAAGTGCTTTTTTATTTTTCCTAAAAGTACTTTTAGCGAGAATAAGTTTGTGTTTGGCTAATTATTTTAAAAAATACTTCTGAACAGCAATTAGTGTTTGGCCAAGCTTTAAAAAACTGCTTATAAATATATTTTTTTCAGAAGTGCTTCTCAAAAAAGTGCTTTTGGAGAAAAGCTACTTTTTTCTGTTTCTCCAAAACTATTTCTGCTTCTCCTCAAAAACACTTTTTTCCTTCCAGAAGCTTGGCCAAACACCTCAATTTTTGGTTAAAAATATTTTTGGTAAAATAAAAATGCACTTTTGGCCGAAAATAAGCTTGGCGAGAGAGGCTATAATTCTCGAGTCAGAATCGAAAGAAAAGGTAAAAGGATATATAATCAGACACGCGGCAAAAGAGGAAAAATTTAGAGGTGCTTTTAGCTAAAAGGTCCTCATATTTCTCCTAATTTACTTTTATTGCCCAGCTACAATACAAAATATAGCAAATTACTCACAAGTGTCCTCTCGGGGACGTCCGATAGAATCTAATCACAACATCACAAGTGTGCAAAGGGAACAACATACGATTAAATCAGTGTCATGAATTTAAAATTTTAGTATTTTCCTTTTCCTTTTTCGTTTAGAAAAAAAGAAAAATTGTCTCACTTAATACTTGGATTATTTAAAACATATACAATATATTGTACATATGAGGGAAGAGAAGGGAAATAGGAAGGAAATTACAAGTTAGAGAACTATACTCTAATAAAATAAAAATTTAGATAGTCAACCAAATAAATTACATAAAATATCCCAAAAAAACTCACTTCGATAAAAAAATTGTCTCAAATATTAAATTTACCCTTTGGAGCTTAGAGCTCACAACAGATGGGATCGGAGAGTTTCATTTGCTGATGTAACTTATTAGCTACGACTTCAAACAAACTCAATCGTGTGATACAAAACATTAACAATTTCTAAAAATTATTAAAGTTAATAATATTATAATTTTGAACTCATAGTTTCAAAGAGTCCAAACAATTCAATATCAAAAATTTTAAAAATCAAATTCATTAAGTATAAATCTTCTCATACTCTTTATCTCACACGAATTGACAATCAATGAATACATGTACCTAAGAAGAAAGTATAGTTTGGGGTCGCAAGAGCAATTCCTGACCCAAATTAATAGTAAACTACAATAATCCAGTAAAATTCTACTACTTGAATTTGGGGAGGGTAATGTGTATGCAAACCTTACCCTTATCCCGAAGGAATAGAGAGGTTGTTTCCAAAAGACCATCGGCTCAAGAAAACAAAAAAACAAAAGGAGACAATATTAGTATCAGCAAAGAAATCATATGAAAAACAGGAACAACATGAAATTCAGAAGAAAGATGCAAAGCAAAAGCGATAGCTAGTAAATAGTTCATGCGCTGAAAAGTGAAATAGTAAGACACAACATTGTCACTAACTATCTTAGACAGAACCCCTACCAGACTGGTCTCACAATGTTACAAAGTAAAGAAAGATTCAAACTACCTCTTAACCTACAACTCTAATACTTGACCTCTACATCTCCCTATCTAGTGTCATGTCCTCGGAAATCTGAAGCCTCGTCATATCCTGCCTGATCACCTCTCCCCAATACTTCTTAGGTTGACATCTACCTCTTCTCGTGCCCTCCACAACCAGTTGCTCACATCTCTTTACCGGCGCATCTGGGCTTCTCCTCTGAACATGCCCGAATCATCTCAGTCTCACTTCCCGCATCTTGTCATCAATGGGAGCCACATGCACCTTCTCCTAAATATCATCATTCTTAATTTTATCTATCCTAGTTTATCCGCACATCCACCTTAACATCCTCATCGTAAACTAAAATTCTGAAAATCTTAAATTTGTGTACATATTATAATTAGCTGCCAAAGCAGCCTATATTCTATATTTGGCCTTCACTTTAGAAGAAAAAAAGAAAATCACAATTTGAAACTGAACGAGAAGTAATATTTTAATGCAAGAGCAATTAGTGCTTCTTTAGTTCTTCTCAACTTGCTCGAACTCTCTAATTTTTCATTTCTAACCCATTCCCTAATTTAACTTTGTAGATTGATCAAAGTATTTTATTACGCAGTGTATATGATTAAAATCGGGCCCACCCAATTTTACTAATTAACCAAAACTAGGGGGATGGATCGAGGATCAGCCCCATGGCTTGACAGATCGAGCTACGAGGATAAGATATCGAGTTCGGAGTTCGAGGTACCTCTCAAGATCGAGACCGGTAATGATCGAGATCGAACGAGATAGACATCGAACGAAACCAAAGATAGCATAATAACAGAAAGGCGAGATATCTGTTACTGGTTGAGGATAATGACGAAAATCTCGGAACAGATCAAATCAAGGGCGGTTGTTTAGCTAATCATGGGATTTTCTTCTATAATTAGAATTATACCGTAAATAGGATTCCTATAATATATAAAGAGGGTCTTAACCATTTGTAATCATCTTACATTCACGCATGTCAAAGCAATACAATATTCTTTCTCTCTTATATTCTTTTGTTCATTATTTCATTTCATAATTCTACTCTTAGTTCGAAGGCGACCTAGCTCGAGGGCTGAACTGCATTTCAATACCGGTTTGCTCTATTTTGTTGTTTATTTCCACTATTAATCATCATATTTATCAATTGGTGCTAGGTGAAATTACGTATCCTTAAAACCACTTATAAGTTTAATTGTTATCCGATTTTAAGGATAAACAGATTGGCGTCCACCGTGGGACTAAGGATAATAGTGATTGCCTTGTACAATTTTCGTAACACATATTATTTTACGCTTGTTCTTTAAAGTGTCTTTGATTTTAGGATCAACATGTCAAACTCCCAAGTATCACCCACACACACTAACAACAGCCTTGGTCTTCATGGCGAGAATGAAAACATAGTCGCCCCGGGAAACAAATTACCTCCAGTCAACCCCGATGGACCGTCGGCCATAGACCCAGTCAATATGAGCTCCCATATTGCTATTAATGGGAATTTGGGCGTCGACCCTGAAAATAGCATCCGCAAGGACGCTCGAACATCCGATCAGTATGCATAGAACGGTGAAGAAGGCGGAATTATCCTTTAAATGATATTTAAGATATGCAGACTCAACAAGCTACAATAGCACAACTCCAAAATCGGAATCGTGCACCAAGCAGGATCGAGCTCGAGCCATCACTAGAAGTTGTTGTAAGCACGTGATTTTTGCCCAATATGAGAATTACTCCCAAAAAATTCAAAAATAAA